TATTGCTGGAACAATTTTTTAAGTACAGTACTAGATTGGCAGATAGGTTTTATTTTACTGTTGAAATTGCTAGATGTAATCCATGTTTTATGCTAACAATTTCTTCTCTTGCACTTCTTACTTGTGGAAATATTTTCCAACTTCTTACTTTCTAATCAACTTTAATCTTCAAAATTTAAATACACTGTCAATTGTTATCTACTTCTTAGTTCCTGTTCTTTAACATTGTCACACCTTAATAATGTTTTTTCTTCTTCTCATCTTTCACAATCAGTCACCTCTTGGATCTTAGTAGTGTTAGGTTTGTAAAATTCATCTGCTCCTATATATAGAGATTGGTTAATAAAATCACATGGGTGATCAGCTTTTATCTCTGAACCTTTCAAGAGAAGGGACCAGACCTGCTCTGAAGTAACACAGAAGAAATTCTCTCCACCGCCAACGGTACCAGTTGCTGAGGGTTTTAAAGGTATAAACTATCTAGCCTTATTTCACTCGACCAGATGGCTAAGTCTGTCTGACATATTCTCTCTCTCTCTCTCTGTATATATATATTTATTTATATATATATATATATATATATATATATATATAAAAAGATATGGTGTTTATGTTAACTGTTGTATTCATGTTTAGGTGTAAATAAATATCTTTATTACATGTTGATAGAATATTCTTTTTATTTGTGTCAGTCCAACATAAATGAGGCTAGCACAATAGTGGCTTTATTGCGTTGTTTTGGGGTGAAATAATTAAAAAGAAAAAATATTCACACTATTTACATTATTTGGAATATTGTCCTCATCTTTGTCACCATATTTATTACAACGTTTTGGGCATTGTACACTCCTGCCTTCTTCAGGTGGTTGGAATGTTGAACCGAACCCTTTATTTCACTCACTGTGGTAGTTCCACATGTCATGTTTAATGGATGTCAGTTATCTCCCATTAATTCCCCTCTCCAAGTTCTCCACTGCCTTAACCGGTTATTGAACTCACACTTTTTGGGTCCTGTCACAGGATCGAACTAACGCCTTTATTCAATGTGCCATGTGTCCTTGAGGACATCTGTGTATGAATTTCTGGGTATTATGAACTCAATATCTTCAGCAACCCAGAAATTCATACGCAGATGTCCTCAAGGAACTTAACTGATGGACAAAATTGCTAGGACAGGACCCAAAGAGTGCAAGTTCAATACCCAGTTAAGGCAATGGACAACTTGGAGAGGGGAATTAACAGGAGACAGCATGTGAAACTAGAAGAGTCTAAACCAGTGAGTGAATTAAAGGGTTCAGTTCGACATTCTAACAATAAGAAAACCAGAATAACGGCTGAAACGTTGTAATAAATATAACGACAAATGAGGGACAATAATCTGAATAATGTAAATAGTGTACATAATACCTCATCTCAGAAATATAGCCAGAAAAAATATTTTATGTCTATTTTTGATTCACATTAATGTTCACACACACACATATATATATATATATACACCTTTGGGAAAGATTGGCGTGTTCAAGTTATTTTGTCAAATAGCCCTTAAATCTTTTGATAGTTTTCTTTTTCGTCCAACTTGTGGGGAGAAGAATACTCCAGTCAAGTTCAATTCATTCTTTGTTGTTTTCTCATCTGCTCTTTGCTGTCTAGGTTTTCTGGAGAGACCAAATCCAACTTCTTGCGAGCTCTTGAAGTTGTCAGGAAAAGCGGAAATGTCATTTGGTACTCTGGAAGTGCAATAATTGGTCTATGAAGCCAATCAATGTCTCTCTTTTTATGTCAGTCTTGTCTGACTGCAAAGGTGTCCACATGATATTTGCCAGTTTTATTTTTTGCTCATATCTTTTCTATCAGAGTTTACATTTATTATTGACATTTTATTTTTTTATAAATTATTTGATTCTATATATAGGATTATGCCATAGAGCTATCTTAGAAAAACACAAAACCAAAAACAACACTGTTTTACTGACCAAATTTGCTACTGAATTTTAGGAACATACACTTCTCAACTAACAAAATGGCAATATATAATTTCATTATTTTACTGCATGGAAAAAATTGTATATACTCTCTCACCTCACAGAAACTGAGTATTAAAAGATAGGAAAATTTTGCTAGAAGAGGGTGTTGAACTGATGTACCATATCTATACTTCTATACTGGCAGCAAATGCTGGATAAATTCCTCACAAATTGACAGTGATGGTGTTTAACAGATAGATGGTGAAAATGCCATGGAATGAACATGTGAGCATCAAGGAAGTTTTAAAGAAAATGGGAACTAACAGGACATACTTACAATCAGAACGAAACAGTTGAAATTTCTGGAACATATGAGAAAAGAGTGCTTGGAGAATTTGACACTAACAAGGCATCTTGAAGGAGAAGGAGGCTGAGAGAAATATTGAGTAACCTTCAGAACAATTTTGTATGAATGAATGAATAACAATGCTGATACAAAGAGGGATGGTAAAGACTTAAACATTATGTCAAGCTATAAGACAGAAGCAGTTGTAGGAAACTTTGATGGCCCACGTCTTCAAGACAGTATATAAAAACAAGTTTTTAATTTTTTCAAGTTTCTCAATGATAACGTACAATTGACTGATTGCACAATGTAGAAAGAATGGAGAACACTTCAAAAGACATTTCTAAGATTTTTTTTTAGTAACATTATGAAATACTGAAGCTATTTTCATTGCTGTTTGACTGTACGAATCATCTATTCACGTCAATTCATTCAATCAACAAAAGATGAAAAGGCTAAATGTTTAACAAGATATGTAATATCAAAAATAAAATACCTGTTCCCTACAGGTGGATTCTGAAAGGCCCACCACTTTGTTTAATGATCTTTTGAAGGCATCACCTATCTTTCATTATAAAAAGTGAAGTGGAACAGGTGCACATTAGTTAATGAAGTCAGAAGATCAGATATGGTAAGAATTTTATTCTGGAGTTAAATCATGAATGTATTTCAAAGAATTGTTCTTATTTAATACTAACTTGTGACAGATGTTTCTTTTTTAATGTCAAAGTGTAATTTAATGTAACAAAAAACAAAGAAATTAGTGGTCATCATATCGTGTTCATTGATATGTAATAGACTAATGTAGGAGTTTCCATCTTGACAAAATCTTTTCATTCATGATTTACTTCGCTACAATTCACTTGCCAGTAGCACTGATAAAACAAAAGAAACAAACCCATTGTAAATAAATAATGAATTACCAGAAAACAGAGAGCCATCATATTCCTGTCTATTCTACGAGAAATGGGTTCAGGGAGCATTTATTTTAATAACATCAACTAGACTGATTGTTGGTAGGATTGCTGTCATTTCATTAATCATTCACCAAATTATCTTTCCATGACCTTAGGGGTCACCTTTCAGTAAACTTGTCTATTCCATTTTGGGTTGATGCAAAAGTTTTTTGTTTTGTCTTTTTAAACATAAAATCTTTCATACATACAAGTCCCTCATATCTTTCAAAGAAAAAAAACCATTTAGACACTTTACCGTTGATCATGATTCATCAACATGAATTCTCATAAATCTATTTTTCATTATCAGTGACTACCTTGTCCCACAAATGGCTTTTGGTACAGTGTAGGCTGTAAACGAATCTCACAGGTGAGATGTTGCAAGTGTCTCATTACTCTATTGCTACTTCTATGGAAAGTGCTCAGCTGAACTACATTGCTTGGTTCCACTATGGCTGATCTTCACTATATGGCAGTGAATGCTGGACAAATTCCTCACAGAGATGGGGTTCAGATAGATGGTGAAAATGCCTTGGAATGAACAGGTGAGCATCAAGGAAATTTCAAAGAAAATGGGAAGTAACAGGACATAAATCAGAAAGAAATAGTTGAACATTCTGAAGCATATTATAAGAAAAGAGTGCTTAGAGAATTTGACACTAACAAGGCATCTTGAAGGACAAGGAGGCTGAGAGAAATATTGAGTAACAATTTTGTAAGAATGGAAGACAATGCAGATACAAAGAGGGATAATAAAGACCTAAACGTGTCAAGCTATGAAACAGATGAAGTTATAGAAAACCATGATGACCCACGTCCTTAAGACAGTATATAAAAAAATGTTTTAAATTTTTCCTTAGGTTTCTCAATGATATCATACAGTTGATTACTTGTACAGACAAGAAAGAACTTAGAACATTTCAAAAAACTTTTCTAAGATTTTTTTTTTTGACTAACACTAGGAATTAGAAGGCAATGAGAATTTTGATATTTCGCTTTTCACAGTATCCTGAAGAGTTCTGAATAAAAACCTGACCATTATGAAGATGAGTGGCTCCACTCATGCCCGGGATTTATTTAGAAACTCTTTGTGAATGAATTCCATCAAAAGTAGAGGCTTGATGCAACAATGTCTGTGATTCTATATTGGCAATCATTTTTTTCTTGTCATGTCAGTGCCTAACATCTCACTTTTCATTTTTATGTTTATTTTTATGACATTTTGTATTTGATACCCACCATTTTGGCTTGTACATCAAATGTTACTAGATTCCCAGTAATGTTCCTAATTTGGCTCAGTCTAAAAAAGAATTTCATTTGGTGCAATTATTGATGTTTATAAAATCCTAATATTTCTTAATGCACATGTAACACAGTAGTTGTCTATGTTGAAAATGGAGTTAGTAGGTCATGTTCAAATGAAGACAGTTTGTCTTCACTTTTGAGTAAATACGTTTGGGAAATATATGAATCCTATTCTTCTCCATCAAGCTATGGGTTAAATAGCAGAGCAGACAACTCTCTAGCCTTGGTTGGTTATCTAGGAGATGGTTAACTAATTTCCAAACTGAATGGGTGTAAGGCTGGCAACTACACCCTAGTAGCAAGGCTGCAATTTTAGATTCCAGGCAGAAAAGAGAAGAAAGAATTATTATGGGGAAAGATTGATTGATTTTACTGTATTTGATGGCAAATAAGACATATTGACATGTAAGCATCCTGACTTCCATTTCAACATGATATATAAATATAATAGAGAGAGAGAGAGAGAGAGAGAAAGAAAGAAAGAGAAAAAGAAAGAGAGAAAGAGAGAGAAAGAGAGAGAAAAAAGTGAGAGAGAGAAAGAAAGAGTGAGAGAGAGAAAGAAAGAGTGAGAGAGAGAAAGAAAGAGTGAGAGAGAGAAAGAAAGAGTGAGAGAGAGAAAGAAAGAGTGAGAGAGAGAAAGAAAGAGTGAGAGAGAGAAAGAAAGAAAAGAGAGAGAAAAAAGAAGAGAGAGAAAGAGAGGAGGAGAGAAAGAAAGAGAGGAGAGAGAGAAAGAAAGAGGAGAGAGAGAAAGAAAGGAGAGAGAAAAGAAAGAGAGAGAAGAGAAAAAGAAGAGAGAGAGAAAGAGAGAGAGAGAAAGAAAAGGAGAGAGAGAAAGAAAAGGAGAGAGAGAAAGAAAGAGGAGAGAGAGAAAGAAAGAGGAGAGAGAAAGAAAAGGAGAGAGAGAAAGAAAGAGGAGAGAGAAAGAAAGAGGAGAGAGAAAGAAAGAGGAGAGAGAAAGAAAAAGAGAGAGAGAAAGAGTGAGAGAGAGAAAGAATGAGAGAGAGAGAGAGAGAAAGAAAGAGAGAGAGAGAGAGAGAGAAAGAAAGAGTGAGAGAGAGAAAGAAAGAGTGAGAGAGAGAAAGAAAAAGTGAGAGAGAGAAAAAGGACAAAGAAAAAATAAAGAAGAACAAGGATAAAATAAAGAAAGAAAAAAGAAAGTAAAACAAAGCAAAGAAAAAAGAAAAACAAAGAAAAGAAAGATAGGATTGAAAAAAATGAAGAATGAAAAAGAAAAGAATTAAAAAAAAAAAAAAAAGAAATAGAAAAAAATGTACTGGAACTTAAACCTGACTGATTTCAAAATGAATTTCTTTTGGTGCATTTATTCCAAAATTTCAGAAGTTCTGATCTTTACCAGTCATCTAAGATGGCAGCCACCATTTCAGTAAGGAATATCAAGAAAAAAAAGGAATTTTTAATAAAGAATCTTATTGGAAATTCATTCACGTTCTTTATCTGGATGAGTTCAAAACTATTAGGTGGAATCATAAATAATTTCTGTTTATCGACTTTGTTTATTCAATTATATATTCACAATTATTTGCAAGAAATGTTTTCAACTCTTTGATGCATTTTGAGTAAAATTCTGTAGGTTTTGATGTGAAGAAGAGTTTTTCTTAAATCATTTTCATTAGAAAACTTTAAAATCATTTTGACTGATTTTAATTTTACAGCTTATTTAAATACTGAAAATATTTTTAGATTGTACAATTTTTTGAGATAATAATGATTTAGTGATACAAGTCTTACTAATTAATCCATAGCTGAGGGAGAGAAGAGGTGAATTGATAACTTTCCTAAGGGTATTCACACATAACTTAATATAATGAACCCAACTGGAATTGGCTCTCAGATTAACAATTCTTATTCGTTACTTATTCTTATTCATGAGCAGCACATCCAAACTTTCCAGTTTTTAAATAAACTGTAAAATTAAAATCAAGCATGTACGGTCATATGGACATATGGTCTACTACTCCTGCTATAAATTTTGCAATTCTTGAAAAAATCGCAAGAAGAAACAGCAATATTATTGGCTCCGATCTGGAATCTCGGCTTCAGTTACTTTCTCCACTGCAATAAAGTTATTTCCTTGTGCCTTTTTTATAAATACTTTCATGGTAAATGTTCAGATGAGCTCTTCATTATCGTACCTAGACTTTATCAATTTTCATTGGACTACCTAAGAAGCCAGGTGCAAATGAATGTGAATGCCATCAAACAATCAACTTAATGAGTCATATAACGAAACGGATCATCTGAATTTTGATGTTTAAAGCATGCAGCAGAATCAGACTGGAAATAGGACATGAACAGTGTAGATTTGTCAAAAACACTGAAACAAGAAATGCAATGTTTATGCTCAGAATGTTATCAAAAAGAGCAATACAAATGCTGAAGGATGTGCACCTGTGTTTACAGATTATGCAAAGGCATTCAATAAAGTACACAATAAAGATCTGTTGAAGATGCTGAGCAACCTTGATATATTTCGGAAAGATATTAGAATAATCATGAACCTATACTGGCAGCAAACCACTCACATACCAAAAAAGAGTTCAGAAGATATACAAAAATAGAAAAGGGTGTAAGACAAGGATGTGCCTTCTTACCAGATTATTCAACTTATACAGTGAGGTGATCCTGAGAGAACTAGAAGTCCTACCAGGATTTATTATTGGTGGCCACAATATTAACATAGTTTATGCAGATGACACGGTGTTGACAACAGACACAGACAAAAAAGTTACAAAACTCCTACTGAAGGTAGCGAAGGAAAGCAAGAAAAAAAAGGAAGAAATTAAAATTCAGAGGAGTATTTGGATAATCAAGGAAGCATTCCAAAAGTTAAACAGTGTACAAAGAAATAGGAAAATTTCACTAGAAATAAGGAAAAGAGTACTAAACTGCTCTGTGATATCTGTTCTCCTGTCTAGTAGTGAGTGCTGGATGATCTCAAAGATGAAGAGGAGACTTGAAGCAAAAGAAATGTGTGTCTCCAAAAAAAATGCTGAGGATACCATGGATCGAACATGTGAGTAACAATGAAGTTTTGGTGAAAATGGAAACAAAAAGAAACTAATACTAAATATCAAGAAGAGACAGTTAAACAGTTAAAGTTGCTGGGGCATATAATGAGGAAGGAAGGCTTGGAAAATCTGATACTCATGGGGCAGATATAGGATAAGAAGGACAGAGGAAAACACACAACATTCTTAGTGAGCTTGAGTAAATGTGGATGAAATAACAGAAAGACAAGCTTTAAGAGCTACAAGGGTCAGGAATTTAGGGGACACGTCAGATAAAGAAGATTGACAACAAGGTCTCATCAATTTACAGTCAAATTGTCTAGATGGAACCATACATTTTATGCAAACATTTTCTTCAGTATCTGTCTATATTTCTGAGATGAGGTATTATGTACACTATTTACATTATTCGAACCATATTTATTACAACATTTCAGCCATTGTACACTCCTGCCTTCTTCAGGTGGTTAGAATGTCGAACTGAACCCTTTATTTCGCTCACTGGGGTAGACTGTTCTACTTCCATGTGCCATGTTTAATAGATGTCAGTTATCAGTTATCTCCTGTTAAATCTCCACTCCATGTTTTCCACTGCCTTAACCGGGTATTGAAATCACACTTTTTGGGTCCAGTCGTTGGCTCTAACCAACGCCTTTATCCACTGTGCCATATGTCCTTGAGGACGTCTGTGTGTGAATTTCTGAGTATTATAAACCTAATGTTTTCAGCAGACATTTTTACCAGTGCTCATATTGCAATTTTTTGCTGTTATCACTTCATGTTTTTACCAGAGCTCATATTTGTTGCTATCGCTTTTCTCTGGCACTCCTTATTACTGGTTCCCATATTGTATTTATTTCTACGCTTGGTTGCCTCAGGAGATTTTTTTTTTTTTTGTGCTGATTTCTTAAGTTTATGGATTTTCCAATGGTGTTCATTGTCAATGATCTCAACCTGATCCCACAAAGGGCAGTCATCTCCCTTCTCTATCCATATGTGGTCAGCCACGCCTGATTTTTCCACTTCCCCTCGTGTTACAGCTTTCTGGTGTTCTTGAAGCCTTACCTTTCCTTGTATTTTTCACTTGTGGAACTCTCTTCCACCTCCATGTTTATTGGACAACTTTGACCTTCAAAAATTTAAAATTATCATAATGTTTCTGTTTTCTAATTAAAATTATCATAATGTTTCTGTTTTCTAATTCTTTCACACCCAGTAATCCCTTGTGTATTTACTGCTTCAGTTAAATTTGATTAAATTCTATCCAACTTATTTTTATGCCTATACAGGTGTGAGGTTGCATACTTCTGTATTCAGCAGCTGTGACTGATCATGAGCCAACTTTCTCATGCACTTGACTTCCTTGATGTGTGGTGGTAACTTGAAGTCAAGTTCATTTCAGCACAATGCCACAATAGCCTTGTAAGGGAAAAGTTTCCACCCTACAAACCTCTTCTGCCATGGTCACAATGTCAATACTCTATTACTATTTCCGTGGCAATGGTTCAGATGAGCTCTATTCTTCAGTTCCACCAGTTAAGGTCTTAAATGTTAAGAGACACCATTCTTCTTGCATGGCATCAAATCACCTAAATTTCCTCTGCATTCCAAACTTGTGTGTGGATGCTTTTCTGAACACTACAAACTTAACATCTTCAAGTCATGGGTCAATCAAAATCTTAACATAGTGCTTGGTATAACGATAAAGGCCTCTGATTGGGACATTGAAGTTTTTAAGGAGCATTGAACCACCTCTTAATTACTGCTGTTCCCAGGTTCACCTTGGCCTGGGGTGGTAGCACCTGTTAGGATCCTAGCCATGGGAAAATACCCCCCCCCAAAAAAAAACAAAAACAAAACATTTATAGTAGAATTACCAACAATACATTTATCTGTAGTCAAAGGTATGCAATTGTATTCAAAATATATTTAGTTGGAATCATAATATGGTGTTCAAAATATTTAGATTTCAGCTTTAAATAACCAATAGAGGTTGATATGCCACTAAACAAAATCAAACAACCAACATGAAAGAATCCTTTTATGACATTAATCCATGTAATATCCTAAAATTTCTTAAAATCAAAGTGTATTCCATAATATATTTTCAGCAAAACTACAATATAAAACTCACATATCACAGACTCTGGTAATCATGTCCACCCAAACCTATGCACAAATCTGAGTATCATCTACCATGTATTCAATTGTGAAAGCAGAATAATCATTTATATTTATTAGTTCAAAGCTTTGAAAAGAAAAAAAAGGGGTCTCTTGTTATCTATCCCTCTTATCCTCATAATCTTCACTTCCTACTACGTCCTCTTTCATTTATATCACACCATTCATCATAACCATTTTAGCAATAATCTTCTACCTTGGATGGCTCACGAGCTTTATATTGAGTGAGCCTTGAATCATTATTCTAGTAGTTAAAAGAATGCTCCTGAGCTTTAAGATTCTTTCTGGTGAATTTAAGCTCATTTTTTATGACTTGAAATAAATTTTATTCTTTTTGTACATTTGCATGACAATCATTGTGCTTTTCACCAAAGTGCATTCTAATCATTTTTGCAGCATTCACATCACTGTCAGAATTTATTGTTGACTATTGGGGTGCTCATAGACATTTCCTTCTGCATGAAATGAGTCCTATGTTAGAGTTGAAGAGACGTCCACAGCCATTGCATGGTAGGGTAGGAAGGTTCAAGGGATGGAGAGCTCTGGCTTTTCTTTGGACTCTCTTTGTCTCTTCTGGTGTTTTTCAAAGATTTTATTTTGTGGGATACTCTTCTCTAATTGGTTATTTCTGCAGCTTTTGACTCCCTATTGACCAAATCAATTCCTGTCCTCAGCAAGGTGCTTTTGCGATGACATAGGGCTCCACAAGATGGTGGCAATTTGTGATGGTTTTTAGGCTTCCCATCTTTGCATGAAGGAGAACCTTGTTGTTCATGGCTCAATCATGCCATATGTTCTTCAGGATTCGATGAGGTTTAATTTGATGGAGTTTTTCAAATTTGTGGGTGTCTCTTTGGTAGAGTAACCAGGTTTCACAGGCATACAGGAGAGTCGAGATTACAACACCTCGGTAGACCATGAGCTTGGTTTGTTTTACCCCAGGATTGCTGGAGACTCTTTTGAATAGCTTCCTTTATGAGCAGGCTTGATTCAGTTATCAATGTCTTTTTCAGAGGATAAATTTGATGTTAGTACACTACCAAGGTATGGAAATTATTCAACATTATCCAGGTTCAGTCTGTTGATGAGAGATTTTAACTCCAGGAGGTATTTATACCTCCTGGAGTTAAAATCCCCATCAAAGAACCATATGGAAATATTCTATAACAAGAATATTTTTCTCAAAGTTCATTTTATTGTATTTTTTCTGAACCTGCTTATTTCTCTTTTCAAATTTGTCACTGGTACTTTGGATAGGACATCATTTATGTATCTGATCCACTTCAAATGAACACTTCTAGCTGCATGAAATGAGCACCTATGACCGTGTGAAATGAGCACTCATGGTCATGTGAAATGAGAACTTCTGGCCACTTCATTCTAAACATTTCTGTTTCAACAGATAGTTCACTAGGGACTAAGAAGCCCATTTAAAAGAAAAAATACACCTTGTCCCTATGGTATTCTCTAGGTAAAGGGAGGAAAAATTCAAAGATTTTGCACCATTTTATTTTATCCTTTTTGTCAATGCCATGTAGCACTCACAAGCAAAAATTCTCTGGGATAGAAGTCCCATCATCCCCACATATAAATCCTAAGTGCTTCAAGTTAAATGACACATGCCAACAGTGTCAAAAAGATATGGCTTTGGTTAAAAGCTTTTCTTTTATTAACAAGGATCCCAGGTATTATCTGGATTAAGAGGTTTTAAAGATGACATTTTACTTATTCTGCATTTTCTAGTGGAAAAATATGTAAAAAAAAATATTAATCTTTAATCTTAATAATTGTGTCAGTTGATATATTCTGTAGATTGATGTTAAATTATGTTTTAAGTGATCCTTATACCAAGAAAGATTGAGCAAGAGAGACAAAGAGAGAGAGAGACACAGAGACTCAGCGAGGGGGAGACACAGAGACTCAGCGAGGGGGAGACACAGAGACTCAGCGAGGGGGAGACACAGAGACTCAAAGGGGGGAGACACAGAGACTCAGGAGGGGGGAGACACAGAGACTCAAAGGAGGGGGGAGACACAGGGAGACTCAGCGAGGGGGAGACACAGAGACTCAGCGAGGGGGAGACAGAGACTCAGACTCGGGGGAGACACAGGAGGGGAGACACAGAGACTCAGCGGGGGGAGACACAGGGAGACACAGAGACTCAGCGAGGGGGGGAGACTCAGCGAGGGGGGAGACACACAGAGACAAAGGAGGGGGAGACTCAGCGAGGGGGGGAGACACAGAGACTCAGCGAGGGGGAGACACAGAGACTCAGCGAGGGGGAGAGAGAAAGAGACTCAGTGAGGGAGAGTCAAAAAGAAAGTGAGGGAGAGTCAAAAAGAGAGAGACAGTGATAGAGAGACACATTAAGTTATACAAGATGTGGGCCTAAGTAATGACAAGATTCAAAATAATCTGTTTTATATTTTGCAATAAATAAACTTTTTGGCTGTATTAAAAACTCTAAAAACTTTTATTAAATGGCATAAATAATGTACGACTTAAAGGTACGATTAATGAAAATATTCAATGACGGTTAAGTGCCACATGAAGAGAAGAAAATAGAAATATTGATTCTTGCTAAAAAATACAAAAAAGAAATAAAAAAATAAAAATGAAAAAATTGCTTATTATTTTTGACTCTTAATTTTATTTATTTTTGAACTTTAATAAAGTCCAGCTTCCCATAAAATTCATTCTAAAGAAATTCATAACTTTATTTGCAGAAGACAGAGAGACACAGACATTAAAATACATTTTGACTTTATTACCACAATGAGTTATTAAGTCTCTAAGAGATTCTTTCCTCAAGCACAGTGAAATAATTTTTATTAAATTTTTATCAAACAAACTATTTTTCATTAATCATTTCACCCCAAGCAAGGCAGTAATGCCACTAAGATTACCTTGCATGAGTGAGAGTGAAAGAAAATGAGATGACAGCAGTGAAGAGAAAGAACAATAAAAGAATAGGTTTTAGGAAGACAGAAGATGAAGATTTGCATTTAGATTTTTGGAGAGCATAGAGAAGAAGCAAGTAAACAGAAGAGAGTTGCACAGGCAAGAAGTGTGAGGAAAGAAATTATAAGAATAGAATTTAAGGTTACATCTAGCTACTTCAACAGGAAAACAATGAGACCTAGCTGCCAATCTAGTAGTATGTTTAAATTCATGCAGTTGAGATACAAAGGAAGAAAGCTCATTAGAACAATTACCATAAAAGATTGAGGGCAGCCACAGCACAGTGGTGGGAAAGTGATTGAAGTCGAGATTCCAAGTCAGGAATGAGAACATAACAGACCCTTTGAATTTCGACAAGTATTTTGAGATATATAGTGTTGTAGCATACCAACGGACGATAATGGGTATGTCCCCATTGACATAAATACAGTCGTAAATACTGTATGTTGGTCTGCAGTTGGAAATTCTTTGTGGAATTCACTTGACTCACTTCTAGCAGTTGACTACTTCTATGTTCCACTGGTGAATCTTATATGTGTTGTTCTTGTCCTAAGTATTATCGTTCATTACTAACCTTCATGTGATTATTCTATTCAGTAACCTTACCTATGAGGAGCACAGACCAGATATCGTAGCAATATTTAATTCATGGATGAATGTCAAATATAAAGATATACAAGATGGATTTGGGCACCTTGAGGTGGTGTAATGATTAGCTATGAACAATTACGACCGAGTAGTGAGTTCAATTCTCACTGGGTGCTCATACTTTTAGCCTTGTGCCACATCTAAGCTACGCTAGGAAAATCACTATACAAGATGGATTCTGGCAAAACTATCTGGTATGACAGAGTAAACCAATATTCCTAGTAGCAGACATAAATAATTTAATATAACCATTCCACTTCACGTCAGTGGAAAACATGAGACCAAGAAAGCATAATGTGTTTCTCTCCTGGAGGTTAGCATCAGCCATGTTGATGGAGGTCAAAAATGATTCTCTATAGCAGTTTCATTTTGGAGGCATTAAAATTTACAAGCTATATTTTGTCCCAGTTAACCGATTGGAGGTAATTTCTGAAAGCAGCTGTTAGTTTTACTTGGACCTATTTGACTATATCAAGACAGTCGTGTGATCAGCATAAATACCTAGTTTGGCAAAGATGATATCAAGATGGTCGTGGTGAAAAAGAGAAATAAGACCAATGTATATTCAAATATTTTAGTGTTATATTTTAGGACTCACTGAAAATAGATGCAAATGAAATGTGAATGCCATCAGCCAATCAGCATAATGAGCCATATAATAAATCTCATCATTCAAATTCTAATGAACAGAGGGCACAGTAGAATTACACTGGAGATAGAACAAGAACAGGGTGAGTTTGTCAAAGACAGCAAAACAAAAAATGCAGTATTTATGCTCAGAATGGTTTGGTTTGTTTTGTTTTACGGCACATCAACCTCAATGGGTCATTTAGTGCTGACACCATTTTTTTGTTTTTTTCCCTGGTAATATTCTGATTTTTTTTCAAAAATCTATTTCTGTTAATATTTTTTCCTCAAAAACGTATAGCTGGTAACATTATTTTTTTCAAAAACGTATTATCAGAGGCCTTGCTGTTGGTTGTAGTTTATCGTCTTACCCAGGACGCGGATGTAGTTTATCGACTTACCCAAGATGTGGATATAGTTTATCATCATATCCAGGATGCAGATTTAGACTGAGTGTTAATTATTTGCCCATAGCTGGGACCCTAACAGGTGCTACCACCTCAAGTCAGTGTGGACCTGGAAACACCAGCAGTTAAGAGGTGGTTCCCCACTCCTCAAAACCTCCTGATCAGAGGCCTTGTTGTTGGGCGTAGTTTATTGTCATACCCAGGATGTGGATGCAATTTATCATCATACTCAGGACGATTATGCTCAGAATGTTATCAGAATGAGAAATAAAAATGCTGAAGGATGTGTACCTGTGCTTTATTGATTATGCAAAGTCATTTGATAAAGTATGCCACAAAGATCTGCTGAAACTGCTTAGCAACCTGGACATATTTGGGAAGGACATTAGAATGGTCAAGAACTTATACTGGCATCAAACTGCCTGTAGATAGACAGAAAATGAGTTCAGTAGATATACATAAATAGAAAGGTCTGTATGACAAGAATTTGTCTTCTTACTGGACTTATTAAATCTAACTGTAGAGATTTAATAAGTCCAGTAAGAAGACAAAGATTATGGATGCCAATACTGAATCCTGGTAGAACATCTAATCCTCTCAGGATTCAGTATTGGCATCCATAATCTTAACAACATAAGATATGCAGATGACAAGGTTATGGCAGACAAAAATTACAATAAGATCTTTATGTCTAAATCTTTAATATATTCATTGAAATGCTATGATCTACCAATTAAGGCAAAGAGAAAAATTACCATTATTATCATTTTACAAAGAAATGCCTTCCCACGAATACATTAAGAATTAGTTTCCAATCTGACTTCAAACAAGGGAAAACAGAATTGAACAATTTTTCTTTATTGTTTTAACACATTTCACGTTTTGTTTGACATGCACTTCCGTCCACACTGCACATGATTGAAGAACCACTGAGCACCATTGTCAAAATAATTCATGATGTTGGATGTGCCATTAAAGAACATTTTGCTTGCAATTCCTTCCCAGTCCCAGCAATAAACATTTCACATTTCGTCTGGCATGCACTTCCATCTGCACTGCACATTATTGAAGAACTACTGAGCGCTGTTGCCAAAATAATTCATGATGTTGGACGTGCCGTTAACAAACCACTGAAGTCAAGAATGTGTCTTCTCACTAGACTTATTCAACCTGTATAGTGAGGTAATTTCAAGAGAATTAAATGTTCTAACAGGATTCAGTACTGGTGGCCACAATCATAACAACCTAAGATATGCAGATGACACAGTGCTGATATCAGACACACAAAGAAAACTAGAAAAGCTTCTACAGAAGTTTGTGAAGGAAAGTGAGAAGAAAGAACTGAACATAAGACAGAATCCATGGTTACTGGCAAAAGAATGAGCCCAAAATGAAAATTACAAATCAGAAGTACCAAAAAAAAAAAAAAAAAAAAAAAAAAAAAAAAAGCACAAACATTTTAATATCTGGGAAGTATTCTAACAGAGGATATAAAGTGTGACACTGAGATCCAAAGATTTATTGGGATGGCTAAAGATGCATTCCAAAAGCTAAGCAGAGTAATAAGAGACAGAAAAACTTCATTAGAAACAAAGAAAAATATACTGAATTATTACATGATATCTGTCCTCCTGTATGGCAATGAATGTTTGACAATCTCCTCAAAGACAAAGAAAAGACTCCAAACAATAGAAACATGGTTCAGATAGCATGGACTGAACATGCGATCAACGACAAGGTTTTAGAGATAATGGAAACAAAAAGGAAACATACTCAACATCAGGAAAAGACAGTTGAAAATTCTAGAGCACATGAGGAGGAAAGAGGGCTTGCAGAATTCGATACTCACAAGACAGAATGAGGGACAGAGAAAAACGGAGCATGATATACTTGATAGGCCTGAGTAAATGGATGATAAAACAGGGTTTGGGAGAAATAGCAAAAAGATAAATCTTATTAAGAGCTACAAAAGACAGGAAGAGGTGGAGGGCCATGATCACCTATGTTCTGAAGCTACAGGGCACATAACAAAAAATATAGACATCTCTGGAATTTATCTGCAAAATTCAAAATAATAGCATCTCAGACAAAATGAGTACCCTCCCATATTATAAAAGGAAGGAGCAATTCTTTTCCCATTTTAGTTCAGAAATATCAAAACTGTCACATGTATACAATTCTTTCTCAGATCATTGATGAAAAATGGATTGGAATGAATGAACAATGCTAGTCTGAGATAGGACCAGTAGTCTTCAAATCTTGTGAACTGGCACTAAAGAATCACTAACAAAGAACTGTACCAAATATCAGAAACCACATCACTTGAGGACTTTCAGTAGCAGAAACAACTAAAATGGACAGCACATTTTCTCCAAGAGAAAAATAACATCAATATGTTAATACTCCACACTATTTAAAAACAAAATGTGAGAAAGAAAAGCTTCCATCAATACTGCAAGCATCAATACTAATAAATGTTTAGCATGCCATTTTTAGCAAGCCTTACTAACATTATATTGATCTGACAAAAAATATTTATAATAATTTCAGTTCAGTGAAGACTGCAGGTCTTAGTACAGGCCATATCTCTTTGAATCTTTTGGACTGATGCTATTGAACAACAAAGAATTGTACCAAACCACATCCCTTGAAGACTTTCAAAATCAGCAACAACTAAAATGGATAGCACATGTAACACAAAGGGAAAATACTGACATAATCATA